TTGCATGATGGTGATCCAAAACAGTCTGACACGGCCACATCTTAATATGGATCTCTGTTCCTCCCAGACTATTGCCTTTAATGTTTGATGTTTTTATTCAGTATTTAGAGTAAATCTTGAGATAATTGACACTATGCAGCATTAAGCAGTGAACTAAGAGTCAGAATATTTTGCTCATCCCAACATCTGACAAACAACATGCCTGTAAGCACGAAAGGAGATAAATAAATTCAAAGACCTCTCTGATGATGAAAAAGCATGTTCTGTTTATGGAGCATGCAATTCAACCAAGGCTCAAACCAAAATCAAACAAATCAAATCAGCTTGGCAAATCAGTTCACTTCAGTGTGGGATGTGGATCTGTCGCTGGCATTTTGACCTACCAGACAGGGGAGCTTCTTGCCTTTTAATTGTGAGTTGGAAATGATGACACTTTTATAATTGAATGACCTGACAACAACAACAACAACAACAACAACAACAACACACAATAGCTGCAGATTTGGAAGGCAGTATAACATTAGACAGCTTTCTGGCATCGCTTATTTGCATCAACACTTCCGTCTAGTACTTTCTCTCACTAAAGAAATAAACACACATTGATAATAAAAATGTGGTCCTACTGCTATCCATTAATTTGATGTGTTTTATCAATATGGTGCATAAGCTAATGCATAATACCATATCTAATTTGCTCTCATGCTTTGCCAGCATTTAAAATATATACCCACATTTCAGTAAACAAGCATCATTCAGGTAAGTGTTGAGTGAATTTGCTAACCAGACAATGTAACCTAGTAACCACAGCTGTGTGTATTTGTTACTGGCGTCTTGAGGTATCATTTCTACCCCGGTTATATTTCTGGTTTGGTTTGCTTGTTTGTTTGAAACATAAGGGGGGTTTAGCATGGGCCGATACGCTCATTTTTTTTCACAGAAACATCCTTGGCAGAGGTCTGCGCCCTGTTGTTAGTTGTTCATGTGAACATATAGAAAAACTAATAAGGTCTAATAAAAACTATCCTGCAATAAACCATAGAGGTTGTAATGTTCATTTTTGTTGACAATGTTTTAACCTCTGATATAGAGTGTTGATTTAACTGTATGATCATTTTGGAGGCTTGGTGCTTTAGAATTGTATTGCTTTTTACTGACCTGTATTTCTATTTGAATACGTTTCAACAACCTACAGTACTAACAAAAACTGAGAATTATTAAGATTCCATGAAAAAAAGTGAAAATGTGGAAAGCAAAGAGGCTTAAATGTCCTGTTGGACAATGCTCAGGTCTTTCTCGAAACTATCTCTCCAGATCAGTTTCAAACATAACATATTAACTAACTGTCTAACCTTTGTTTGCTTGCTTACATTGATGCCAGTTCAAAAAAAGGGCATGTGTACCACAGACAGAGCAAACCAAAGATTAGTAAATGTTTTCTGTCGTCCCCCTTCCCTCACTGTCCGCCAGCATGTCTGAGGCTTGGAGTCAACACATTATTGCAAATGAAAGGAATCCCACACACAGACACACAAGCAGAATGATTTAAACAGTGCCATTTAAAAAAAGAAAACCGCCTCCTGAGCCTAAACAAGACACAAAAACACAAAAGAAAGAAGACTGACAAAAGGACGACTATAGTTCACACTTTAATGTGAGGGCGTGGCTGGTATTTCTGGTATGTTAGCACTGACACTGTTGGTCAGATGAGCTCACTGGAGAGACATTTAGCGTATGTCTCAATTTAAATATTTCTAAATACTGTAATAAAAAAATAACAACATTTTTTAACCAACTTTCACCAAATGTGCCCATGAATATCAGTTCACAAATCATTCTGAGTATGCATCAGATAAATAAGCTGTCTAAAGTCTGTTAAAATAACACTGGTGATATCTTAGTGATCAAAAATATATCTGCAAAGATATCCTAACCTCTGGCACATTTGAAACACTAAATTGATGGAGTAGTCCTTTAAAATGTAACTTAGTAACATAAACCAGAGCAAAGTCATAGTTGAATTAAGCAAAACAGATTACTCCACATTTAGCTGCTTTCACAAAAGGAATACTACATAATGTACATTTAACCATCAACCATGAACATTGTGGTTTTCTCAGCATTATGTGCCAAAGTAGCTCCCCTGAGAACTAACAATTATTTATCACTTCCATTGTTCCATTGCTCAACCAGCAGAAGAAAATTGCATACTGTTGGGCTATCTTGTTTCCAGGTGAACCATCTCTGCTTCACCTGTCTAAGTCTAATCCTCTGTAAAGCCATAATAATAACAGCCTAAAGCACAGTCACAGACATTAAGAGCAGTGGCAACAAGGTCTGTGATCTCTCTGTAGTTCATGGGGCGACATTAATCCGGCTGGGGTTCTCTACACGTGTAAATAGCCTATTTGGAACATGGATATTTAGCAACAGTCACAGTGAAGTTTGTTTCATATACCAATGCTACACTAAGAGGGAAAGAGATGTGAAGATCTGATATGACTTCAGCAGAGGATGAACAGACAGACAGAGAGATACATGCTGGAGGCAATGTGGCAGTGAGGAATTTCCCTCCTCCTGAAAATCCATCTATCACCCAGTTTTCCAAGCAAAGAAGTGGTGGATTTCATCTCTCCCGGCTACTCCTTTGTCTCCCCTCTCCTTTATCTTGCCGATTTTTAATCTCCCTCCCTCTCTCCAACACGATTTGAAAAGATAAAACTCTGCTGATTGGTGATGCTTACGACCACAGTTTATGTTGTCCCTTTATCTGTCTTTAACAGCGATCTCGCCCACTCAAGCCGTCTCACTTCCACTTTGTACATTTGAGAAGATTTCTGCAGATTCAAAACAAAAATGCTTCACAAGTAAATGGCTTATCGACCCTGGTTCTATGCCGTTTATTGCATGCATCAGAGAAGAAAACATTTCAGCTGCAGAGCAACAAACAGAGCAGCAGATGAGAAGGAGATAAAGTGAGGGTGTTAGTTACACATGGAAAATCTCATTTGATTTTTTGCACAAGAGAGGTATGACCAAAACAAGACCTGGGTCACACTGCATTCATGACAGCATATTGATTATAACCATACCAATATTTGATGATTTTGGATGATAATGATTAAAAACTATTTGATGACACTACCGATATTTGAGAATAAAATAAAAAATCGTATAATAAACACATCCGGAGATTTGAGTTTTGCTTACACAAACCCTAACATAAACAAGTGTTTACAGTTTCCAAACAAGATATTTACTGTTGTGTGATGTCAAATGTTATTTACCAATAACCATAAATGCTATTAATCCTTGTTGTACAAAACATATCTCTGCCAATTCCTTATTTACATGTATTGTCATCTATATTCTGGTATAAAAATGTAAGCTGAAGCAATATACATGCAATAAGCTAATATGGCTTGTGCTCTAAAGGCTATAATAGCCCAAATGTCACAAATACTTCAATAGCACACCCAAAAACTAAATAAAAAAAATGTAATACATGTTACAAATAATGTTGAAAACATCAACGTTGAAAGACTGTAGTAGAAAGATCTGTTTGACCGATCACAAAAGACAGCAGTGAGCTTTATGAGTCAGACTAAAAACTGTCAGCGTAAATGCCAGACATGAACAGTCAGCACAACCCTCAATAGAGTTAAACAGCTGAAAATGTGACAGCAGCATGACAGAGTTAAATATCATGCCACTACAACAGAATGACAAAACCAGCAACATGTGGACGTCAAGCTGAGTGCAAAGTCACTACAAAACTGACCAGACCACTTATCATTTACAGCAACTACACAGAATGGCTTTTAATAAATGTTATACACACAGCTAAAGATCAGGAGGCTGTGTCTGAGGTGGACACCAGCTGAAGTTTATTTCAAAAGTGATTTACCTATTAACTGCCTCATAAAACAGCATTGCTGATCTGTTATTTGCTTGCTTCTCTTACTTCTGTGACATTTATATCCTCATGCATCCTGTGCAGGGATCCTTTATGTGCGACTTCTCTTTGAAACCTCAGACATATGTAGCCTATGCTTGTTAACAAACCCTGGAGAAAATAACTGTTTCCTGAGAGTCAAATTAAGCCAGAGGTGAGCAACACCCCCCGGATATGGCCTCAAGTCCCTCAGTTCTCCAGCCTGACAGAAGGAAGGCAGTGTCAGGAGCTCCTGCTGGGATCTCTGCTTGTTAATTGTGTATGCTAAGCAGGGTTTGTTTGATGGCTTATGAGGCAGAAATAAAGCTAGAGTTTAGCAAAGATCAAGGATATCTGGAGTTAAAAGTGATGAAAGAGCAGAGTCAGTGAAACATATAAAGTCATAACAGAATTGTGTGGTTTATCTGATATACACAAATTGAGATTTTAACTGTAGTGTGCTTATTGTTCATGTGTGTTTGCAACAGCAGCTAAGAAAGTGTCAAAAGATAACACCACTATCTCAACAACTGCATCATAAAACTGTTGTAAATGCCTTGCACACGTGAAGCTTTTGTACTTAATTACTCATAAAACTGACAAATAAAGTGCAGTAAAGAGATACAGCTATCCTTCAACACTGAAAGAAAACAAGATACACATGATACTGCACACACGCCATAGTAGGCTATACTTTTTTAGATGAAAGCTCCATTTACTAAGACTTTCACTGTAAAGTCACAACTGTGCAAAATGAAAGTCTTATCTGTTTACAAGTGCTTTTTAATAGGTTGGATCAGGATTAAAGAAGCCAAAGAGGGACAGAAAACATCACGTTTGACTTTTGAACAGCTACATTATATTTCAAAGGTTTTTAATCATAGTAGGCTATGACTCTTTGGTTTGAAATGTTTTGTTCAGACATGTCAACAGCTGCCTTGTCTGTCCACTGTAGCTGGACTCACTTACACCTCTTGGCCCAGTTTCAAAAAGTGTCAACCCCGACCAACCACGTACACTAAACTTGTTAAAATTCATGCGGGAAAATGTTGGCCAAAAATAAACTTACCTGTTCAAACTTGGCCACTTGCTTTATAGGTCCAATCGACTGAAAGAGGAACACGAGAGAAGTGGACACAGGACCAAAAGCGAAAACAGGATCGAGAGTAGTCTTTCTTCCAGCGTAATTAGTTTTTAGTTAGCCCCAAAGCTAAAATACGACACAAACTCTCCGGAACAGTTGAACACCTGAGTAGCCGCCGCACAGCGCTGCCTCCCTATGCTTCGCTCGTCAACATGAACATCGGACGACGCGTGGTTACGTTTGTCAAACTTTAACAGGTCGAAAAAAGTTTGTTTTAGGGAGTAGGTCCAGGCATTGATACAACACGAACTGAAACAGTGTCGTGAAGCTGCTCTCACACCGCCTCTCTTCGTGTCTGAACCCGTCTGTGAGGAGGGATAGAGTCGGTCTGTCCCGGGGTTACCTGACTCCAGTCATTAACGAGAGGCCAGCCCTCAACACAGCAGCAGCAGCAGCCTCATGTTTCCTGTTGTTCTGAATAACTGCAGAGCAGATACACAGCTTTCACAGCTTCGAAAGTAACAGGTTAAGATGCTTATTTAACGACCAATATAACACGCCATGTGGTGTTTGAACAAATGGTGTAGGGAGAAAGTTAAAAGTCAATGCGATGTTTATTCCTTCCAGCGTAAAGCTGTAAAACAAATATCAAACTCAGTTGACGTTAGCATGCCTTTTGAGTGTCTACATAATTATATTATCAATTGTCTCGTGTGTATGTGTACATTTGAATAAGGTTTTACAAGATGATTCTATTGATAGACATCACAGTCAGAATAATTTTTGATTGCAAAGCTCAACCATTAAAATCATTTAACGTCATCAGCCTCACCATGTGGTCTGATTCTTGCAGGTGCTCAAGGCCCTTCCATGGTATCAGAACTGATTTTGATGAAGTGAGGCATCCGAGCAAAATAGGTAATATTTGCATGGGTACCTATCTAATTGTATCTCATGAATGGTATGAGCAAAACTATTGCATTTCATGTAAAACGTCTCTGTGAATGAAAGCTTTGCCTTAAAGTGCAAAGTCCCTCTCAGTTCAACTGAATGTTTCCATATCCTGCACTTTCACATGAAAATGATGGCCTTACTTTTCTAAAAGTTCTCTTTGGTTTAGATGTTAATCCTGGACATAATTCAAACACATAAAAAACAAGTACAAATGAAGCCCTTCTAGTTTACAGTACATTTGTTTCATGGGAAAGAAAGCATTTAATATTCTTATCTTAAGATGCCACTAAAGCTTTATACTGGATACCATGTTATTAGTGGCTGTAAGCCTATAGTAGCAAACCAACGTGTCTACGTACATGCACTCCCTTAGGATAGGTTGAGGGAAAGGGGTAGCAATTAAGAAGTAAGGAACAGAGGTGGAGAGTTTCAACGTGTCTACATACATGAACTCCCTTAGGATAGGGTGAGAGAAAAGAGTAGGAATTAAGATATATGCGCCACATCTATACCAAAACGTTTTTTTGGCACTGACACCAATCAACAGTTGTGCGTCGACTCGGCAGGGATCAAGGCACGTATATGCCTCTCCCTGCTTCCACCGTCTACACACACAACCAAATTACATCTATACCATGAGCGCATTGCTCCTAAAAAGTGTTTCTGGCACTGACACCAATCAACAGTTGTCTAGAATCGGTGTGTATTTCGCTGTGGTTTCAGCAAAAATATAACGCTTGATGATCTTTATCCTTTTCAATATTGCAGCCTTGAGTATCTACCAATAGGAATACCAATCTGATACTTTCCTTTCCTTTTTCTTTAACAACCAAGCTGTTTGTACATTTGAGTGGATGCACTTTGCTTAACCTAACCATCTAAAACAACTCAAACTGTCAAACAAGTATTCTACTCCCCTAAAGGAAGGAAGCCATAGCCCACAAGATGACTCAGTTATTCAATACTGCTGCTGCTTTTTATCCAAACAGCATTTTTGATTGCTAAGCACTATTGACATATTCAAATAGCTTTTAAAGTGCAGCTTCATGCAAAAGTTTTAAGTCTGAGAATGTAGAATAACAATTTTCATTTAGTCAAAACCTCATTTGAAAGTTGTTGACATAGGGTATAATGAGCAACTGTTTTTCATAATCTTGTTCTCTTTTGTGATACAGGTTGACTGTGGGAATCCATTCCTAATTCAGGTTGGCTGCTGACGTAAATCAGGAGCGAGGTCCAAACATTTTGCTGACACTTTTCCAGACGCTGGGTAGAATCGGGCCATATTAATAAGGTAGGTTTTTCTGGTGTTTTCCATTTAATTTCAATGATCAGGCAGACTTATATACACTACCCATCTCTCTGGGTATGCAGCATTTCAAGTGTAGCTGTTTGGTTCAGTTTGCGTTGCTTTGTTCCTCCTTGTGTATTATGTATTTGACAAGGACACATCGGTTGGATATTTATTGAAAAGTAATAAATTGGGAGAACAATTAAGTATGTCACTTAACCATAGTGGCCCAAGTTTGCCTTCATACTATTCGCACCAAAAAAAAGTGTCCTCATGTATTACATCATGACATCAAATACATGTGTTGACCCTGGTGTGGGAAAGATACAACTTTTTTTATTAGGGACTCAAAGGACGGACCAAAGGCACTATTAAAATACTTGAGAGCTTCATGAAATACAACTAGGCCAAGCTATTTTTATGTATATTTCATTATGACTTACTCGTGTGTATAATTTATACTACAATATAATTCAGGCTCATTTTATCACGATTAATTGCTTTTTTAATTCGCCCAAATCTGGTGTATGAACCTCTGAAGTACTATCGTTACAACGTCTTTAGAGATGGTCAGGGTTTCAGACACATGAATACAGCACTGCTGACCTGTACTGTATCTTCTTTTATAATCCCATTTTGCTAAATATCTGATTCATTCTTTATGGCTGAAATTCCCCAGCATGGCAATTTGAAACGAGAATGTCCTTGGCTGTGATCCACAGTGATAGTGTATGAAATGAGCACATCCACTGACTCGGCCTACTTCTGATTTCCCAAGACAAGAGAGTTCCTACATTTAAACCATGATTTAAACACACACTGGCTCTTATCACACAGCTCCTCCATAACACTATGGCCACTCAGTCTCTCTGTATTTTGTGTGTGCTTGTGTTTGTTGGGGGAGGTATTTTTCAGTATAGCAACCTTTGCTTAACAATACTGCATGCATGTGCTTTTGGGGTCTGTGTGTTCATGCAAAATGTACCAGCACCTTCTATACAGTGCTCTTTGTTCCCTTGTGTGTGCGCTTGCATGTTCTTTTGTAGCATACTGTAGAAAGAGCACCGTTTGTTTGTGTTTTTTGTTCATACAAGTCAAGTGTACAAAAGGGCACGACATCATTAGTTTATAATGTGAGGTTTCATGTGTAGACATGTGTTACCTACATTTTGTGAGTCAAACTGTCATGGAACCTATGACAGCTGGATGCCAGTTTGTTTTAACATAGCCCACATATTGTGGCTTATTTGTATGTGTATGGTTGTGTAAATAGGGACTCTAGGTTAAGTAGGTCTGCCACCCTATGACCAGTGAAATATTTCAGTATTTGACATTGATTTCACATACCAACTATGGTATCTTTTAGATTAGAGATCATATTATCATTTACTTAAAGGGCATGGTTGTGGGTTGGGTTAGTTAACTAAGACAAACATTGACTCATTTTCAGGCCTTTTGGGGTCAATGGAAAATGTCACATCAGATTTTAAGTGAATGGTGAACCTGTTTATATGCAGGGATCTACTGTTCACCTGCTATATATTGTACCTCTGCTGTAAAGAGGCCGTGCAGGTAGCCTACAGTGGTATTTTTGCAATTTTTTGGTTAAAAACAGCTGCAGTTAGTGGTGTGAGACACATCTGTAAAGTTTTAGCCATGAGAATAAAAACGAAGAGCTGAAAGACACACAAACTCGTAACAATTCTCTCTCAGTCTTTCATCCCTCAACAAACTGCCAGTTACCTGATCCTATTGTATATGAAAATATTAGTTATAGGCAGGTTAGGTGAGGGTTTGGCAACAAAAACGCTTTATATATCCTTTATTTAACCAGGTATAAGTCTCATTGAGATTAAAATCTCTTTTTCAAGAGTGACCTGGCCAAGAAGGGCAGCATGAACAAAGTTACAACAGATCAAACACAGACAATACAGGCAGACAAATACAGCTGCCATAAAACACAAATGAAATGGCACATTAACCAGTCAATATGCAAATAAAAGAAACTATTATAAATCATTAAAAACTGGCACAATTTAAAACGACTCTCTGTCCTTTAAGATTGACTTGAATTCCTCCATAGTGATTACATTTGACATTTTCAGCTCCTTCTGTATATTATTCCGAGCAGAAGGGGCAGCATATTTAATACTTTGTTGTTAGGGGAAGATGGTGAAAGTCAAGGATGCTATATGCTAATCCACAAGCCCAACCTCCACCCATTTGAATTTCTTACATCACAATAGAGCACAATGCATTGGGTATAGGGAAACTAGGTTGAAAGGAAGGTTAAAGAAAAGAAAGTCAAGACAAGATACGAATACTGCATGTTTTTGTGTGTGCAATGCATGGATGCACTGATATGTGTCTAGTCTACTTATTTGCAGGCTATTCATGGCCACCTCTGTGTACTTGCTCTATTTAGTCTTACCTTCCCCATTTTGCCCTTGACTTTGACAACTCTCTCTTTACACTCTCAAACGCCTGATGATAAATTATCACATACATCAATCTATAAGACCAGACAGCCGCGTCTGAAGGTATTAACGGTCATGAAAGAGATGCCACACACCTACAGAGTGTGAGTTAAAGTGATGGAGCAGAAAATAAAGATGTCCCTTGGGAGGCTGTGAAAGGCCGATAATACTATAGTCACTGAAATGCAATGCAGTTGTTTCTATGTCTTTGCAGCAACCATGTGATATTGTGACAGAACTGTATCAGTGCAAAGTGTCAACTCTTGGTATACCTTACAGTGTTTCCCACAGAGTTTGATTCTATTTGTGGAGGACGATATTTATTTGTGGCGGCCCGCCACAAATAAATCAATGTATGGGAAACACTGCCTTACTAGTTGCAATTGGAGATGGCTTTAGTGAACTTCTATATTTACTTCTGTGTTTTTTTTAGATAGAATTATTTATTTCTTCTTCATTGTATGTGCACTCTTAAATGGGTTAGTATGTGTCTGTTTCTGCAAATCCACATTTCCTCACTTGTTATTATACTGTATGAATGCAGTGGGTTGTCATGGGAACTATCCGTGATTATAACCATCAATGAATCAGGGGAAAAAAATACCCTTTTCTGTGAGTGGTGTGCCCTCTTCAGCTGTGAATGATTTGTTTGAGTGCAGCAGGGGGAGGGCGGGGGTGTCCTTGCTCTTTTAGTTTAA